GGGTAGGAAGTTGGTAGAGTTTGGGAAGGGCCTTGCGTTTGCACTCAGTTACGCACTGGGGAAGGCAGGCAGGCAGGCAGGCTAGGACATACATACGTTCGGGATGCGAAACATTTCAGAACCTGGTAAATTAGCAGATTCTGAGACAGCTCCCAACCAACAACGCGGAGGTTTTACATCTACAACCTAGCTTGATTACTCTGAATCATGAAGGGCCTTTTCACGCCTTCCTTTTTGGAATCATACACTATTACAGCAAACATGTCAGCTCCTGTTAAACCACCCCAGGGAACGCACAACAGCGCATAATACACACAAGTGGAGGAGACGAACCCAAGACCTGCTGAGGCTTGGTCACACAATCGCCAGATCTGTAATCTTGAAGATCGCAACACAAGCCATAAGAGCCCTGTATCATGGGATTTATTTCATTCACCCGTAGTCCTCCTGAAATACTTGTTTGAAGCGGTGTATTAGCCCTAGGCCGCCTGGCTGGTTCCTCTCTCTCACTTTTTTCTTTTTTTCTTCTATTGGCCCACCAACCCCCCCCAGGGAAGTGTCCCTCGGAATTCAAGCAAACAACAGACGCTGGTCGGGAAATAAAGAGTTGACACGGGAAACGGGAGACCGGTGAGGATAGAATTTACGGACTGCCCGCGGCTGAGTCTGGAGGTTCTTATGTTTCATCTCCCGAACTCCTGTCCAGAATGTCTGGACAACGGCACTGATTCTCCGCTCCGGGCATGCATACCCGACGGTCGTCCCGGCACCCGCGACGTGGAACATTACAGGTAGAGAGCGGCCAGTGAGAACAGAGCCTCTCGAAGTAACTCAAAGTCGTGACTTTCAACGACTCGGCGTCAGGCCGCAGTATCTTCGAACTACATACGAACCCCGTCAGACATGTATTACCAAAATGGCATCGTAGCCCTTCGTATCTAACTCTTTTTGATAAGGACAGAGTGGTTTACTGACTGTAGTATGCCGTTAGGGAATCAACGATCATGATACCCTATGCATCGCTGTGGGCTATAAATACACGGGGAAGAGCTTGAAATAGACACGGCTCCGCTTTTGGTGGTAGCCCTTTTTTTCAACCTTCGAAGAGTAACGGAGATCAACTTGGAAAGATTGGGGGCGGGGTTAGTACTTAGATCAATCAGATCTCTAAGATTCTATACGTCAATCTGGCCCAGGAAAGGCTTTGTTCGCGCACGTGAACGTGCTTCGACCATCGCCTGGGCCAGTAATATGGCTTTCTACTGAATGAGTATTCCACCGATGGAGCACAAGCACTTGGTATCCCCCTCTGGATAAAGCGGCAAAATCATTCGAAATGCACACTTATCATTACATTTGACAATAGGGCTCCAGTCGAGGTCATATGATGCCTTGCTGCAAGCTTTCACTGGCTTCACGGATCATCACTCGCAGTTCCTCAAGCATTGAGAACACTGCCGTTACTTCCACAAAAACAACTATTGACGGCTACAGTATTGGAAAAATATATACCGCATTTTTTTCGTGCTATTAATTGCCGACTTTTTTTACGGTTTCAGAAAGGCTCACCGGAGTTGCTGGCGGAATTTGAATGGAAAAGACTATTGTCTGCGACTACATTCCATGGTGCACCCAATTACAAGAAGAGGCGCCTATCAAATTCCTTTACAGGGTGATCCATCTCGATATCATATATACCATTATCTTAGACCCGTGGATCTCCAATCAAGGGACGTGAAAGTTGAAAGATTATGGTGAGTACCAGGTCGGGAGATGATTCTAAGGGCATTTCAATCAGACAATTGGCGACACGCTACAGAAACGTTTTGAAACAAAATCTCCTGACGATCAATGAATATCTATTAGTTTACTGCCTGGCCACGTCCAAGTTGTACGTAAAGACAACCGACAATTGCAGTTCCGTTGGGCCATGTAAATGTATTCGTGCCCCGAGGGTTCCTGGACGACGCCGTGAGTTCAATTCATTTGATGGACCACCTCTATTATACTCTCACCTGCATGATTGTAAAACTATATTTTTCACTCTCTGTATATTTTGTTGGTAGATTCGAGAACCCCATATGTCGACATGGTTTTAAATCGCTGGCATTAATGCACTTGGTATGTATTTGAGATACGATCTTTCACCGTTAAGAAAGCTAGCTACCTGACAAGCTTGGGATCCTGCGCCATATGTGGGGGATTAACGCGGGTCAAACATCCCCAACCCACTAATCCAGCTGTACCGCAAATCCCGTAGTTGATTTTGCCACTATCTACTGGTTAGGCATTACCGAAAATCATCGGCAACTAAATGATGATGGATGTGGGGGATTTGCAGCTAAAGAAAATAGTAGCAAAAAAATAAAAAAAAGGGAAAAGGAAAGAACTGTTTTTTTCTAAACACGACGGAGCAAGCAAGCTTGGGGTTGAAATCTTTTGAGTGATTTTTCGGGCCACCAGTCTAGATGCTACTATGTAACTAACTCTTCACCGGGCCACCAAGCTATTCCGTATAACTGATGCCTCTATACGGCAACATTTCGGTGGGCCCGGCGGAGATGGGGTCACATGGACATCGGGAGCCTGAGGGCCTTCTTGCTCGCCCCTCAATGATCTGGACCGAGCTAACCTTTCACTCGCTGGATTATTTCAATTCCTTCTTGCTGGATCCAGGGATGTAATGAGACTGACTGCAGCTTTGACTTGCTGTTAAAACAGCGCAATAATATTGTACACAAGATCAACTGGGCGGTCGATGCTTTTTTTCTATGTTCTATGATCATACGAGGCCTAGCGGACAAACCTGCTTTGCCCCACTCTCCCACCGTAGAGTTACTCCCCCATCCGGCGCGCGAGTCAAGTGGAATACGTAACTAGGAGACCTTCCATTGATGCGATTCAAGAGGTTACAAAAAAGGATCCCCGGCTAGTGGGCAGCCTTGCAGTTATTCAAGTAAGCAGGTCTTCAGATTGATACCGATGAACCAATTCCTAGTGAATCAGGTTCGGCGATGTCCCCTACAGACTATGGCAACTAGCTACTTACCCCCAACCCAGATATGCGCCATTGGTCGCTGAGGATTTGATAAACCTGTACGCACATACTTATCATGAGAACTATTTGGTTTAACTGACATTGACCCCGCGTTTAGCGCTGTATTATGACAAGTCAGTACGTAGGAGAACTCCTGGGCTAGGGAAGGCGTGGCTTGATTGTGCCCGCGTTGATTGTAGTAAGAAACAGATCGTCCACGAGACGTTCACGATCTTGCAAAGTATGAGCTGTCCGCCTTCACGACAGGAGTACGTATCAAGGGATACTGATAGTACTTATCTGCATACTTCTGAACTACCCCGTGTGTATTCGGTTGCAGACTTTACAATTAATTATTGGTATTATCTGCTACGGGCCGAAACACCGCCGAGCACTCGGACAATGTCTGAGTATATTCGGTTCCTACTCTGAAACCTTTCAAGAATGGAAAGCAACATTGTTCTCTGACTTTGATTGCACAAGGAAAACTAGAGTAAGAGAAGTCAAAGACTTGAGGTACGTATGTACATGTACCTGAAAGAATCGGGAAATCGGAGCTATATTGTTTAGTGCAGACTGAACAACGCATCGTTTTTACGGTCCGATGCGATTGGAAATAAATTTCTTGAAATTGAGCTCAAATTTCAAGTTTAACTATGCATTCTGCGCAGAACGGACGATCATTATAGGCTGTTTAACAACCACATGTGAACGAAACGCTCAAAAGGAGCTTGATTTCAATTTTTCTCTTCGGCCTTGATCATCTTCTTCCATGTCGGGATACTTTTTTCCCGTAAAAGATAAAAGCCGGTGGCCAATAGGTTCTTTGTGCAGTAATAGTAAGGGGGTTTAATGGGAGAAAGGCTGTCCATTCTGTCTGGTAATCTATACGGATAAATATCGTCATAATGTGACAGATGCTAAATTAATTTCAAAGATTACATCAGCACATATGAATTATGCGATTACATAAACTTTGAAAAATATTTTTTTCGTTCCCCAGTCATATGCAGTTCTTAGTATGGAACATCGCATGTGTGTACAGTAGACGACGTTGGCAAGCATACCAAGTGTGGGGAGCCTCCTAATGCACCCGTGGAATTGATTGCCTTATGCGTGGATATTCAATCGATCTAAAATGGAGTGGGCGAAAATCTTGGTGCAAAATTTGCAAAGTGTTCACATAATGGTCATTTTTAGAAGTCACTTTTCCTGCGTCAGGAAAAAGGAAAGAATAGGCTCAAATCCCACGTTAACGTCCCACGGGAGCGGACCGGAGCTTCCCGAACCCTAACCCAGTGATAGACCAGAGCCGCACCTTAAATTCCTTTGGTCAGTTACCCGGACGCCTTTCAGCCCGTGTACAGAAAACCCTGATCCTGGATGAAACCTGCAACGTTGTACAAGTCATCGTTCGAGCAACCTCGAGATTCCTCCAAGCTTCGTTCATCTTGAATCCCACATACCTTACCGTCGAACCGCGGGGGCCACATAGGTCTTGCCTGAACGTTCATAGAACATAGGTTGTTAACATTCTTTTGGGGATACAAGGAGTTATTACAACTTTTATGTAGGCCTTATAACATGCTTATATATGGCTTATCGGAGGCTTGTACGGGGAAAACAGCTTGTTAGGAACCTATGTTTGAAACACGGGTTCAGTAAGGTTTTGAAAGGGCTTGCGTGGTTCTGCGGTTCGAAGGTAGGGTAGCTACCAAGTGAACAGCGATATCTGGAATCTTTAGCTATCCCCCATCGAGGATTCGAGAGATGATCGTCCCACCAGAAGGATTACGGGGGACGGGAAGGGGATGTCTGGGTTTGACCAACCTGCTATCTATAAAGTAGTACACAGCCAGTGGAATAGCTGACACTGCTCTTCGAAGCCTTCGGGTACTGCTGTAGTTAAAGCGGTTTGCTTCGCTGATGTTGGTAAATTTTGCCGTGCCAAAAAAATTGACCTCTATACACCTGTAGAATCAACCTCCTCGGGAATACTCGTCGAATTATCGGAGCTTGGAACGATCGAATGCCATGGTTTTACCTGGAATTTGGGATATTTGTCCTCCTTTGCTGGTTTGCTTAGTCCCAAACCCTCGACATTGGAATTCAATTCTGGGCTAGGCTAATAGATTCAAATAAGTAGAATTCTGGACAGATTACAAATTGCAAAGGGTCAAAATGCTGGAGAATCTGGAGTCGGAGATACCAGAAAGCTTACTGTAGCTACTTCTGTTGTCGGAGAGGATGCTGACAGGGATTTGTCGGTTCTGGACCTGATCCTAGGATCGCTGGCATTCAGGGTCGAGACTTTGTTGTCAATCAAGATGTTCATCTTGGTGAGATTTTCATGAAATGTTTTGTTTGAGATTTCCGGTGCGGAAAATCTAGCTAATAGTAAAAATCTTAAAAATAAGGCCTCGAACAAGTCAACGAGTGTATGCTGTTGCCTCCAATCCCTGTAAAATAATTCGGCGATCTCCGGCCAATCCTGTCGTGCTGATAATCTTTAGCACGTATTCTATGCAAGACAGGAGTTCTAAAAACACCAACCAGTTCTCGATGGGATATGCATGTTTACATCATCCACAATCACGACACTCACTCGGGTCAACAAGTCAAACATTTTTAATCCAAATTCTGCCCGAAGAGGTCAAAAGGTCTATGGAGTCCTGGGGCGGTTCGTAGATGCCACATCAATTTATTCCGAGATCGGGAGAAACCAGATTAATCGAAAATTATTCCGGGAGCCGGAACAACTGTTGCAGAACCGACGATACGAAGGAAATATACGACTTATTTCTTTAGAAACCTGGGACAGAAATCGATTTTCACTAGGGGGAGATATCAGCTAACCCTATTAGCCGGTCCCGAGAGCCTGGAACTTCTCCGATGCTCTGTCAGGACTTATGTCGTCTTGCCACTTGGATTACCGCTGTTTCTGCCACTGCACATACCATTGGCCAGTAATGTCAGGAATATTGAGAAAGGAAAGGGCCTGCAGTTGGATGGGGATTTCGTGCGATATGTACGGTGGATTATCGCCGGTGCCGATGTGGAGGCCAGGGTGATCCAGATAGCTATACGTGGAGTGGGGACTTAAACTTCGTTTGGATCGAACAACTTGTTTCAATCGCCGGACAACAACTTAACGAAGGGAGGCTCATCAGCCCTTTCAAATATTACACTCTTTAAACAAATGGAAACATTCCTCCTATGAAAGGATGGGGACGCTAGTGGTCGGTAAAGAATGTGAGTGGTAGAAGCTTTGCTTAGCGAGCAGGCAGACACTGATGATCATGATCAGCTTTAGTGCTCCTCCATCAGGCGCTTGATCGCGCTTCGTTCAATCAGAATTCAACGTCTTTGAAGCTGCTGCACACGGGAGAAAATCGTTAAATATGCAAGTCGGAGAAGTCGCATCCATTTGCCGCCACGACCCCTCACGGGGGACGCTCTTCTTTTTTTCTTAAACGTCTGTATTCAATTCGCTGACATGCACATTGATATATGTATGTACATCGCCTTGCCGATGGAAGTACTCTGAACCCAAACCAACCTAGCCTAACACCAACGTTAATACATTGATAGTTAGTGCGCGCCTATCAGATCCCAGGTACCTACCACGCTGACGTTGTGTGCATAGAGAACATGGGGGGTCGAAGAGGGGCAACAATAACAGGCAATCATATCTCTCGGACCAGCGTTGCCTCCCCTCAACATGCGGAAGTTCTTCCCCGATCAAAATGGATGCGTTATGGATTGGCGAATCCCATAATAGCTCCATTTTCCTGGTGATACCTGCTCGTACAGCGCCATTTCGCCAAAGCCTTATTGGCTTTCCATATCACAAGTACGGAAAAGAAAATCAGTCCGCAAGTCGGGATAGAGGTTCGTTTCTCCTGCCATTCTATACGCCAGTTCGACTGTGCTATGGTCATCAGTCACCTGCCTCCCTTGACTTTGGACTCAATGATCGTGCGGATCAATGCAGTACAGCGGATAGAGAAACCTTTTCTACTGGAGAACCGGTATCACACGTGTCTGGATACTGCTGCCATGCCCTGGTCAGGTGGTATATCATAACCTTTGGGAATGAGGCAACAAGTCATTGTAACAATACTTAGGTACTATTGCCGTTGAGATGGTAGAACAGAGGGACTCTCTTGACCTTCAGGGGCAATTGATCAGCAAGAGATAGACATGATTGCCACGAAGCGGGTACATCGAGCTGCCGGAACGAAGGAGAAGAGAAGACCAACACTGGCCTGCATTATCCTTCCCCCGTTGTATGCTAAACATACTTACGTCTCATGTCGGTACGTACCCCATCAACGAACCAAAAATAGGAGTCTTCATCTAGAATTCTTTACTTTGATGTCTCCAACAAGGACAATCATGAGAGAATATTCAGAGTCAGCAAAAAGGATACCGGGTCCGCATAATGGATAATGCTGGCTGGCTGAATACAAAGGTAAGTATCGGTACAATATTCTATCGTGGTGACTAGTAGGCTAATCCATGTAGCCAGGTACAAGAACATTCCGAGTCAGATACCTTTCTACCCCAGCTCCCTGCAGCGGAAGTTTTACATCTGTTTTCCGCGATGATGATGATGAGAAAAATCCTTCATTTAGGGTGGCGATCAAGGAAAGAAAAATGGGCATTCTAGACGGGCATCGTTCTTCAGCAGTATGCGCAGGTCCAATCTGTAGCATTTTTGCACATCCCCCCGCCGGAAAGCCCGGAGTTGACCTTCTATGCGTCTTACATAGAGCAAGCCTTTATGATGTTTCGCTAGGATGTGTTTAGATGCCTCTATTTCTCGTTGGCAGTTGTTCAAAAACGGATTCCGCCTGATTGGAGTCCACAAAGGTTCACCGAGAAAAATTAAAGACGGAACAACTCATCGTTTCGATTATTTCGAACGCGACCGGTATGATACGATGGATGGGAACAACGACTACAACGAAGATGCAGGGTGGAAATTAGATGGCATGCAACGCGGGCCAGCAATTGAGTACTGTTGTGGTTTGAGCCGTTTAGCAATTGCTGCTTAGAACGTCACTGCGCTGGGTGAAAGCTTCAATTATGCTTATCGCGTTTTGATAAGGGACTGTGGGAGGGTGTGTGTGTTCTGGCGATGCGGCGGGCGACTCTAGTTATTCTGCCTGTTTAACGGGCAAAATTTCTCGCATAAAGAGTAAGCAATGATTTCGGTTAACGTTTCTGCGGGTTCAATTTGTTTTGGTAACTGCGGAGATGCCGCCGGCTAGAGAAACTATTATGGGAAGACTACAAATTGATCTGCAAGTATATTGACACCTGTTTCTCCCAAGGAAGTAGGGCATGCAATAAGAAACAGGCATTGCGCAGAAGTTTCCAATCTGATGCGATCGCCTTGAATAAATCGAGAGATGATCGATGAACACCGAGAAAGCGGCGACCGGTAGGTTTTCAAGGTAGTTCGAACATTATCGGATGAACCAAAACTCTGCGAAACAACGGAGATCATCATTATTGACCCGAGTCACCAAACGCAATTCCCCGGTTGCAACACAACCCTTGGAGTAAAAAAGCTATCGCGGATAACGTTAATTTTTTCAACGGGACAAAAAAAAATCGCCCACTACTACTTTCTGTCGTTTCGGTCGTAAGCGCTCAATTCTGTCATTGCTGAATCTGTCGGATTCACGCTCAAAAATCTGATTCAAAAGAGTTTGACATTATTCATCACACAATCTGCAATTGACGTGGTAGATCTTGCGGCGAGGCAGAAGTACATTGTTGGCGTTGAGGCGTTCCATGGCAATTGTAACTGATGCAGTTGCTGTTGTTCCCTGGCACTGGTGGACAAGTGAGCGGTGAAAGTGGCGGGGAAGGCTTTTTGATTATCGATGGACATTGCCATTCTTGGATGCGGCTGAGACTGTATTTGTGGGTGAAGTTTAGAACAATTGGAGATGATGCAACTCCCGTCAGGATCCCAGGTCTACATGGCGATCGAGGACCAGTGCCGGTGGTATAGTAAGAAAAAATAAAAATAAAAGTAAAAAAAGAACCGAATTTTCTCGTCGTTCGGGTCAAGTCAAAGGGACGGGACTTTGATACCAGCTTTCGCAGCTTTCGGTGGTTATTACAGTGCAACGGCCCGTCATGAGTCAACTGCAAGTCAAGCGAAAGCCTTCTGTTCTCCATACCGTCAACCTAGGCCACGTCCACCAGTCCCCGTGCTCTCCCATTATGCACTTCCAGCTTGGATTAAAATGGTAGTTTTTAGAATCTCACGATGACCGTGACCGCTGCCTTTATGAAGCTTTACTATACTGAGAATTCGAGTTGGATACTGCGGGGCGGCGGAATACGTGGCAATGGAGGAACAGGAACACCACCGTGAGGAGAGCTTGAGCAACAGCCGCACTCAATTGCAAATTCCAATTTAAAGGGGATGAAATAACTAGACGTAGGCATGATGCGTCTTTAATTCTAAAGTGAACATGTCCTCGTTCATTGTTTGGCTGGATACAATTGCCATTGCCATTGACACTTCTTGCTGATTGATATTTCTACTAAATTCCTTTTTCATATTTTTTTTTTTTTCTTTGCGTGATGATTTTCGCGCAATTAAATTGGTCTAAAAGCAAAGAAAGAAATATGGGGATGAAATTAAAAAATAAAAAATACATCACGAGTTTACCTAACTGACGACTTGCTGCACAGTTGTGGTGGTTATGCTATGCTAGTACTCTGGTTGTGGTACTGGAGGTACAGTAGGATGTATGTACGGTGGTGGTGGTACTGGACTGGTATAACCTAGCTAGCTACATTCAGATATAATCAACAGTACTCTGGAGCAGGTGCTTTACATGGCAACAGCACGTAGTGACGCTGCAGAGGAAATTCGGGCCTCGTGAGAGGTTCATGCGCACATAGAAGAAATGCTCAAATGCAAAACGCTAAAAGAAACTGGAGAAGAGGAGGCGAGGGTCAGGGAGAGGAGGAGAATTGAGGAGGGAGCGAGAAAAAAGCTTGGACCATGCTTTTCCTCATGGAGACGACATCCTGCGGGCCCGTTACCCGGCCTTGCCGGGCAGGTGCTCTCATCACCAAAAATAAAACGTTGTACTCCTTTTTTTCGTACGAAGGGTTTTAACGTAGGCTTGTAATTGTAGCGGAGGGAGGAGACTTCCTCTCTTTCGATCCCATGCCAGCGCACCCTGCAGTCCAGTCGTCACTGCATCTCTTCCTGCCTCCTGCACATCTCATTCCCTAATAGCCCTCTCGGTCAAAATTGGGTGGTTCATCTAAACCCCCACCCCTACACTTTTTCTTACC